AACGACCTCTTAATTGCTGGTGTTCCCAGGTATACCCTGACCCGGGGTGGTAGTACCTGTTAGGGTCCAAACTATGGACAAATAGCTAACTCCCAAACTGGGGTCAAAACATTATGAAAGTGTAAAAATAGGTTTAATGCTAGAAATACTTTATTAAAAAAAATATTACAAGCAATAAATTTTTGAAAAAAAATATTACCAGCTATACATTTTTGAAGGAAAAAATATTACCAGCAATAAAAATTGTCGGCTTTAAATAACCCATTGAGGTTGATATGCCATTAAACAAAACAAAACAAACCCATATATACTGAGATAGATAGATAGATAGATAGATAGATAGATAGATAGATAGATAGATAAAAAAAATATTACCAGCAATAAAAATCTTGTCGACATTAAATAACCCATTGAGGTTGATATGCCATAAAACAAAACAAATCAAACCCATATATACTGAGATAGATAGATAGATAGATAGATAGATAGATAGATAGATAGATAGATAGATAAAAAATATTACCAGCAATAAAAATTGTTGGTATAAAATAACCGATTTTGGTTGATATGCCGTAAAACATAACAAACCAAACTTAATTTTAAAATTACAGGGTGATTCCATGCTCGATTTAGTATTTTTTTTCCAATGGAATTTACATGTAATTGTTTTGGGAATTAATAATTTGAGTGCAGGTGTAGCTAATTTTTATTAATTTCTTGTTGACTATCTAATTTAGAGGATTTGTTTATGGAAGCGTTTAGTAATTAATTTTATGAATTACTGTCCGATATTGTCCGATGTTGATACTTGAAAGTTTGCAGAAATGGGTGGGGTTGAACCAAATGATTTTTCTTTTCTTATTTTTACACCTACATCCCACTTTTTGTGCATCGGTACTACCTATAGGGGTTGCATAAGACAGCTTATTTTTGAAACTACTTTTTTGGAAGGCCTTTTTATATGGTTCTTTATTTTTATTAAAGATTTGTTTTCATTGGACGATAGTTTACTAATCCCGGTGCAAACAGTAGTGGGTATTTGTTGAAGCTTAAATAAGCATGGAATAATACAACACAAAATGTACGTTAACAAAATGTATTGAAACAAAGAATAGGTACACAGTATTTACAGTTAGTTTGGTATATTCTTGGGAAGACTGTTCCTGCATAATGGGTTGACTAAATCGCAGTCGGGCAGAGTCTCTGGATTCAATTTCTTAATCTCTACTATCTTCCCCGTCTTCCGGTACCAACCCATATTTATATGGTCGGTAGTCCGCTTATGTAAATTAGGTGTATCATACACAACAGTATTTGTCTTAGGATTGCATTGGGGTGGTTAGAACTGATATTAATCAAAATTACTTAAGAATATATATATGGAGAAAGAGTGAGTGGGCATAGGAATGCAGTGTTGGTTGCTATGTCCGGACTGCTTAATCCATAAACGTTCTATTTCTTTTATTAAGCGTTTATAAATATAGCCAATCTTAAACAACACACACGCGCGCACACACACAGATATACACACACAAACACATATCTATCATTCCTTGTATTCAGTCAGTGCATTTTATTCAATTAACACATTCCTGGGTATGACGATAAACTACATCCGGCAGCGAGGCCTCTGATCGGGAGGTTTTGAGGAGCGTGGAACCTCCTCTTAATTGCTAGTGTTCTCAGGTCCACCCTGACCCGGGGTGGTAGCACCTGTTAGGGTCCCAGCTATGAGCCAATAGTGAATCCCCAAACAAAATCCAACAGTAAATCTTTATTATAAAATGAGTAACAATAATTTATTTATGGCAAAATAACAATCAAGGCAACATTAAAAAATATAAAAATACATTTTTATCGTAAATTTAATAATAATACATTTTATGATCTTCAAACTATATACCTAAAAAACATGCCTTTACCCGGAAAATATAAAATTATGTACAAATTATTTGTATCTGTCTACATCTCTGAGATGAGGTATTATGTACATTATTTACATTATTCGGACTATTGTCCTCATCTTTCGGCCGTTGTACGCTCTGACCTTCTTCAGGTGGGTGGAATGTCGAACTGAACCCTTTATTTCGCTCACTAGTTCCACGTGGCATGTTTAATGTTTATAAGTTATCTCCTGTTAATTTCCTACAGTTCTCCACTATTGAACTCACACTCTTTGAGTCTTGTCACTGGATCTAATTAACGCCTTTATCCACTGCGCCATATGTCCTTGAGAACATCTGTGTAGGAATTTCTGAGTATTATAAACCTACTGTCTTCAGCATCATTTTTTATCAGAGCTCATATTGCAATATTTGTAGTTGAAAGCATAAAATTACTTACGTAATATTTAGATTTCGGCATTAAATAACCCATAGAAATTGATATGCCGCTAAATAAAACCAACTAGCAGTACATATTTTGAGGAAAATGACCAACAATACATTTTATCTGTAGCTGAAGGCATGCAGTTGCATTCAAAATATATTTAGTTGAAGCCATAAAATTGTCTTCAAAATATATTGATATAACCCATAAAGACTGATAAGACGCTAAACAAAATCAACCAATCAAATTCATCCACTGTAATGTCTGTGGCTCAAAAATTATAATTTAAAGTTCTTCATTCACAAAGGTGATTTTATATTTTTAGGGAGTGAGCACATTGATCAAGCATTTCCTAAGGGAGTTGGACAAAAATGGTTAGGTACCCCAAACATAAAAGTTTTCTTCGTCCTCTAAGAGTAGAATTTACAAAAACAGAAAAAGAAAGGCTGTGTAGAATCAGTTTCCAAAATGTTAATTGTAACTTACCTGTCACCTTTAAAATGCTGATTTGAAATCTTATGTTTCACCTGTAAATAATGCGCATGTTCCACAGTTTTTATATTAATGTTTTTTATGCCATAATCTTCAGGGCGTAGGCCAACACTATTCTCTATAGATATATTTTCTTTATTATCTGTAAAGGAAATCACTAATATATATATATATATATATATATATATATATATATATATATATATATATATGTGTGTGTGTGTGTGTGTGTGTGTGTGTGTGTGTGTGTGTGTGCATTTGGGCAGCAATCCCTCTTTTATACATTTAAAAGTTTAATCGCAATGAATTGTCAGACGTCGTCAATGAAACACACAAACACACACAGGCACACACACACACACACACACGTATATATATATATATATATATATATATATATATATATATATATATAAATGACAATAGGAAAAGTGTAGTTATTGTTGACGCGTTTCGTCCAATGCGGACTTTTATCCAAGAAAAAACGTTTTTTGCTTTGAGAAAGTCCGCATCGGACGAAACGCGTCGGCAATAATTACAGTTTTCCCTATTGTCATTTATATTTATAAATATTGTCTTTTCTACAGGTTAACTCTGAAAATTTTCATATATATATATATATATATATATATATATATATATATATATATATAAGTGCATATATTATATTTTTTATTCTACATGTTTTTGCTACACGTCTTTCCAATGTCGTGACCTTCTCTAGGCAAATAAAAGAAATCAATTTTTAAAGGAATGAATTTTCCTTATGGTCTTTTAATGTTTCATTGTTCGTTTTCTGTATTTGTTGTGAGCCTTGATCTCATTTCTGGACTGTTGGCAAAAGTGAATTTCTGCCTAAGTGGTAAATAAAATCATTAGGTTTGGTCTGATTTGGGGTGATGATAGATGTGTTGATGAGAGATGTTTTCTTATCCCTACACTACCCTTGAGACTGTCAAATCTATTTCCATTTTATGTATCGTGTGTGCGTGCACATGAGTTAGTATACACATACATATACATGCCTATATATATATATATATATATATATATATATACCCACACACATACACACACACACACATGCATATTTTTCCTGCGTTGTGTAGGTCTCACCTGTGTGCCCGTGAGTAGTCTATCTATTTTTGCCAGTGTATGTATATATATTTTTGTTCGCCATGGATACTTGTTTGCGCCTGCGTACGTGTATGTATGTTTACAGTCCGACCAGTGTATCTGGCCATCATGTGTGTATGCCGTGTATCCATGTGTGTGGGGTTATGATCTCTTCAGTGATGGTTTAAATTTGTCGATAAGTTTAACACGTTGTTTGATTGTTAATCTTTCCATGGTTGAAACTGCCAAAGACGTAAGTTGTTAAATCTGAAAGAAAAAGTAAAACATCATTAGACTTAATTCACATTTAAAATCGGTCCAAGTTATTGGAACATCCTATATATATATATATATATATATATATATATATATATATATATATATATATATATATATATATTTTTTGTCTGTCTGTCTGTTTGTCTGTGTCTGAATGGTTAAGCAACTTCCCCTCTGCAGCGTCTTAATGTAATCTCTCAGAGATTTATATTGCTGATTTTCTTTTCATATTTTTTATCGCTGCGTATATATATATATATATATGTGTGTGTATGTGCGTGCGTGTGTGTGTGTCTTACTTTTGATTTACCTTTGAAAAACATGAAACGATAACCGGTTAGTTTTTTTTTGTTGTTTCTTTTTTTGTCATATTTTTCTATTCAGCATTTTACAGTAAGTAATTTCTTTTCTTCTCCTTCCTCTTTCTCCGTCACCGCCTTTTTCTTTTTTAATATATTTGTATTAAGTCTGTGAATAAATCAAGACAGAAATATTATATATATATATATATATATATATATATATATATAAAGAGAGAAATGCACACACGCATATAATTACAAATGAACGCAAGCAATAAGCTATTTCTTCATTATCAACTATGTAGGCTTGCAATGACCACACCAAATTGAGAAACTCGTGAAGACAAATTTATTGTCAAAATGGGAGTGTACCATTTAACTGAAGGATGAGTCAAAGAGAAAGGTGCAACCGGCCCCTTTAAATAAATAGGTGAAATACCTGTTGTGTAATATAATTTAAATAGAATCTATCTCAGTCTCTTCATGTCTATCTATCTATCTATCCCACTCTCTTTACATCTATCTATCTATCTGACCACAACTAAATTTTCATGCGTTTTCAAGCTGAACATAATTAAATAGAATTTATCGAATATCCAGGCCGGAAGACGATATAAAATACTGTTTAAAATAAACGTCTAATCCTCTAAAAATAATGTTTAAAGTGATTATATATATATATATATATATATATATATATATATATATATATATATATATATATATATATATATATAAACTTTATCACGATTATATATCCTATTTGTACCATACTGTCGACACGGTGAGCGCGTGGATAAAATGTTTTTTCTATTTTTTGATCCAGTCTGAAGGATTATATCTCTCAACTTGGAAACTTAAAACAAAGAACCCAAAATATTAAGGACTATTTTAAAAGTCACCGTGTTTGTTTTGTTTTACGGCATAACAACCTTAATCGGTTATTTAATGACGGCAAGATTTTTTATTAACATTTTTTCCTTCAAAAATGTATTGCTGATAATAATTTTTCCTGAAAAATGTATTGCTGGTAATAATTTTTTCTGAAAAATGTATTGCTGGTAATAATTTTTCATCAAAATTTATTGCTGGTATTAAAACCCTATTTTTATATTTTCATAGTGTTTTGACCCCTTTTGGGTAGTTAACTATTTTCCCATAACTGGGACCCTAAGAGGTGCTAAAACCCCGGGTCAGGGTGGACCTAGGAACACCAGAAATTAAGAGGTGGTTCCACGCTCCTCAAAACATCCTAAACAGAGACCTTGCTGTCGGGTGTAGTTTATCGTCATACCCAGGACGCGTATGTAGTTTATCGTCATACCCAGGACGCGTATGTAGTTTATCGTCATACCCAGGACGCGGATGTAGTTTATCGTCTTACCCAGGACACGGATGTAGTTTATCGTCATACCCAGGACACGGATGTAGTTTATCGTCATGCCCAGGATGGTCCTAATAGATGCTACTACTGCATTGCACCTTCCCATAAGGCTCAGAATGTTATGGCTTTATTTGAAGAAGAAGGAATCGCCCTAATGAAGTGGCCAGCTCAGAGCCCCGACCTGAATCCAATAGAAAATGTTTGGAAGATAATTGGTGAAAGGGCTCAGAAAAGAAACCCGAAAAACCAGGATCACCTATGGGAGTTATTGAAAGACCAATGGGACGGAATTACTGCTGATTTTTGCAAGAAATTAATTAGATCATATGGTCGACGATGAAGAGAAGTCATTGAAAATAAGGGAATGTTAACCAAATATTAAATTTTGTTGATATTTTGTTCACAATCAATTATTAACAAGATCATTCCTGAATTTTTGTCTATATTTTAAAAAAAAAAACTATTATGTAAATTTTTGTGACTTTGTATAATATTTATGCATTACACCCTAACCTTTATTCGGTAAAAATTTCATTGCTAATCATGCATTACTTTTTAAGTAATACGCATATTTATGTCTTTGTTGTTTCCGTTCCTTATATTATGGCCGCTACTGTATGTATATGAGAGGGAGAGAGAGAGAGAGAGAGGAGTGGGAGGAGTGGGAGGGGGAGTGTCCTTGTAATGTTAATGTGTATGTAGGTATTCAGTTGGTAGTAGTAACCATTTCGATTCCTTGGGTCCATGTAAAATAGGGCATGGAAGAACGGACGAAATATTTCATCGATTCTCTGATCCCTTTGCCTAGTTGTCTCTGTGTCTATCGCTTTTTTGAGACAAAGGAATTAATTTCAAAATTGTCTCTTGATTCCTGATTGGTTCACAGGTGTGACTCATTTAAAAATCCACTTTTCTTTACCTACATTTAGGAATGATGACCTTTTAGCCTCTTTTATTTATTTATTTTTTTTTATCATTTTGTTTTTATTTCTTTATGGTAAAATAAAATCTATTTTTAAATACTGAACTTTTTCTTATTTTTCTGTCACTACAGTATCCCTATTGAGTGGATATCAACTTAAAATAGAATTTAATTAATTTATCATTTATGGAGAAAGATAAAATTTACACAGTATGTAAAACAAATATCAATTTATTAATTTGCAAAGTTTCAGCTTTATAGCGTGGAAAGTTATTAAGTTATAACAAAATATATTATAACACATATTCAAATAGAGTAAAGCATTTTTCTGTTAAATATTCATGTGCATTCTTGTTCTACTACTACATCTGCATGCCAGATATAAATAAAAGGACAATGTATCAAATAGCCAGTAAGAGTAATAGTCCTAGTAGCAGTTTGAGTAACAGTATGTTAAAGTAGTAAGAGGAGGTATTAAAAAAATCTTCCTGTGTCTAGTCTACTTCCGGTTGTATGAAAACTATCTTCATAAAGAAAAAATAGATAAAAAAAGATATAATAAAAGATGAAGCAATTTATATAAAATACCTCAACGATTTGTGGAATATAAAATTATAAACTGGTTGGCTCTGTGGATGTTGAACAAACACAAATGTGTCTGAGCAAACGTCTGCAATAGGGATTGGCTAGCCGCTCAAGTAGACGGGTATCCTCGAATATGAGTGGCCAGTTGCTATTATTATTATTATGTACTTATCTCATTGATAGAAATAACCCTTTCGACTCTTTATGGATTTAAGGAGCCAGGTAAAATAGGGCATGGAATAACGGAATGGAAGCCTTGTGAGGGAAATTGGGTTGACGGAACACTGTGCTAGAACGAAGTAACAAGTTATCGGGGCTTTGAGTGTGCTGGCATTGTTCCGATTCTTGATCATGCTAGATAACTTGATCTCTACCAGAGGTCTGCTCAGCATAGTTGCAGTATAAACCACAGGTTGGCTCTGTGGGTGTTGAGCAAACACATATGTGCCTGAGCGAGTGTCTGCAATAGGAACTGACTAGCAGACGGGTATCCTCAAATATGAGTGGCCAGCTGTTATTATTATTATTATTATGTACGTATCTCATTGATAGTAGTAATCCTTTCGATTCCCTGTGAATTTAAGGGCCCGGGTAAAATAGGGCATGGAAGAACAGACTGAGCTATTTCATCAACTTTTTAGTTCCTTTGCCTGGTCGTCTCTGTTTTTATCACTTTTCCAAGACAAAGGAATTCATTCTAGAATTGTGTTTTGATTTCTGATTGGTTCACAGCTGTGACTCATTTGACAATTCCTTTCATTTACCAGGAAGGAGACTTCCTGACGTTATCGGTTTGGAGGGGGACGATCTCATTGTATAGCACCCTTGGAAAGTACCTGAAAACCATGGCACTTTCTACCTAATTTCACCAATTTTCTACCTAATTTCACTCACACGGCTTGTGAGTGAAATTAGGTAGACGGAACTCGTAATCCTTTTGACACTGGAATTTTTAGTTGTCCTGATAATGCAGGGCATAGAAGAACGGACAAAATTATTTCAACGACTCCCTGGTTCCTTTCTTTGATCGTTTGAGTTTATCACTTTTCCAAGACAAAGGAAATTCATTCTAGAATTGTCTCTTGATTTCTAATTGGTTCACAGGTGTGACATCATTTAACAATTCGACTTATTCACTTACATTTAAGAATAATGACCTTTTGACCTCTTTTTTTTTCTTATCTTTTTGTTTTTATACAAAAAATGGTTCGATACTTTTCTTTTCTTTTTTTTTTTTTTAAATATTTTTATTTTTCTATCGCTCCCGGTTTATTGTAATAGCGAAAGATGCCTTCCCCCCAAACCTGAACGAAGTATTAAGAAACATGAAAAATATTACTGGAAACAAAGAAAAGAGTGCTGGACTGATATGTAATCTCATTCATCCTGTATAACGGTGCTGTTGTGATGCGTCTAGTGTGTAGTGGTAGTGCTTGTCGCTTCTCGCTTTCAGTTACCGCCGCTGGCTAGCTGCAATGCGAAAAGAGGAGCCGAGCGCGTAAGTCTTCCCCTGCCTGTATATAGCCTCTCCATCAGCAAGCCCTATGTAGTGCCTCCTCGTGGTGACATATGGCAACCGAGCACCTTGCGAACTCGGGCTAAACTACAGGGGACGGAGGAGGGGTTTGGCTCCCTAAACATGAGGCATGCAGGCCCACCGGTGTGTGGACACGCCCTGGTGTCCATGAACCAAACCCTAGCTATGGGTTAAATAGCTCCAGTGGCTTGTGGAAATCTTCGGGAGAAGGAAAGGCTAAGGAGTAAACCCTACACAAAACCGGAGTGGAGCCCCTAAGGCGGATAGACGGCACTTTGTGTTACCTTCCGGCAACTCCTGCAACCGCGTTGGTACCAAACTGTATTGGTTCATCCTCTCCTTTGGACTCTGCTAGCAAGGCCAAGAGGGAGAACTAGACGTCCGGGAAGCCCTAGTTCTTCATACATCCCGCCCAGACTTGTGGCGCCCTGGAGAGGAGATTCCATTTGCGCTACTCCATCGTCTCCCGAGACGGACGGATGCCGAACGAACGAACGAACGAACGAACGAACGAACGAACGATTTAACAGTAAATGCTGAACAGTTTCCTTACAGATGAAGCGGAGATCTGAGACAAGAGACATCCGGCTCTAGAGAAGGATTCTTAGAATACAACAGACGAAATATGTGAACAACGAGGAAGTTTTAAGGAAGCAGCTGGCATTTCTGCTACACAATGATGACGGCTAAGAGAGTTTTTACAACCACAGGACATATTGAAGGCAAAAGGAGCAGAGAAAAGCAATGAGTAAGACAACTAACGAGTAATAGTAAGGTGTCAGACATTGTTTAGGGCTTCAAGGGATAGAAATTTGTGGGGAGTCACATGCGCGCCCATGTTCTAAAAGAACACGGCACCTAATAAAAGTTCGTAAAGAACTCAAGCACTGTGATAAAACAAATACAGCAAACGTGCTACTAGATTGGCATGTAGGTCCCACCTTTTTAGGTCCCACCCCGCGAAATTGTGATATAATGGTCTCGTTTCAGTCACTTTCTCACCGATCTGACGTGGCTTCTTTTCTACAAATATTTAACTGTTCTGACGAGCTTTTTTCACTGGTGCATTTGAATTTAAGCGTGCTACTCGATTGGCATCTAGATCCCACCCGTTTACTGTTGAAATAGTTAAATGTAACCACTACTTCTACTCCAACATTAGGAATCCATCTCCCCCCAGATATGGGTTAAATAGTACTTGTATCGGAGAAAAACATTGTTATCTACAAAAATCTTGCGAAGAAAAAAGAATTATTCTTACAATCCAAAATATGTCTCAAATTAAATAATCCCCAAAGGATTGATAAACCATTAAAAAAAAACAGTGAATCAATCAACTATGATCAAAACAACTGATAGGTTTAATAAAACAGATTTGAAATCTAAAACTTCTGGGATGAGAGTTATTTCTATTTTATGATTGGGTGACTGCTTGAGAATAGCAGGTGTTGTAAGCTTGGATGTGCGGGTGGTGTAATGCTTCTAAATTTTTAATCGGAGAGCCAGTTTCTAATTCTAGTTGGGTTCGTTATATTCACTTACGTGCAAATATCCTTGGGAAAGGCATGAATCCACCTCCTTTCCCTCCAGCTATGAGTTAATTAGTAAGCCATGTATCACTAAACCATTATTATCTAAAAGAAATTTCTTATGGTCTCAGATTAATTCCTGGCTTTAAATAACCTGTGAGGCGTTGATAAGCCATAGAAACCGAATTAGTCTATCAATAGGCACTGGTGGTCTAATTTCAGTGTGAATTGCACAGATACAGTAAGAAGAAAGATATATATATATATATATATATATATATATATATATATATATATATATATATATATATATATATATGAGTTACTTATACTCTAACAGTTTCTCTTCCCGCACTTTTCACCTGTGGAACTATTTTTCTTTTACTTGCTTCTCTGATAACTAAAAACCTTCAAAAATTTGAATGTAATGCTAATCGCCATCTTCTGTTGCCTTGATCTGCCTTCATCTTTTATCTTTTCCTCAATCCCACCTTTACTCAGATTTTTTCTCTCGCTTTCACTCTCTTGTTTGGGGTAAAATATTTTAAAAAAATGTTGAGAGTTAAATTAAAATTAATAACAACACTGCGAACGTATTTCATTACCTTTTTTTATTTACTACTATTTAACCCATACCAGGGCAACAGCCTATGTAGAGGATTACTAAATGAGGTTTGTTGTAAGGGCGTAGGGAGATGGATCCGTATTTTAGTATTCGAGGTGAGTAAATCGATTTGGCGAAGCAGTAACACCCCCCAACTGGTACATGTAGATTACGAGCATACCACCCCGAGTGAAACCATGTTTACCCTGGAATCATCATGCCTGAACGGATCCCAGATACCGAGAAGTTCACTTGTTTGGGAGGAGTAACGAACCCACCAGGAGACGTCGGGGGTTACAAGGTCTTCTCGTTACCTGTTGCGAAAAGAAGTAAAAATGATATGAACTAATTTTTGATTAGATTTCGTTGCGACGTAGCAACCGGTGGTGTGTCTCGAGCTGCGTTTTCCAACCGGTGCACCCGAGCCCACTAATGCGCCCTGAAAGTTAACAGAAGGACAATTTATGAATTATTTTTATATTAAAAAATAATCTTTATTTTTAAAAAGTTACTAGAGACACTGAGCATTTTGGCTTCCATGTCTATGTTGAGTCTTTGTCATTTGATATTTTAAACTGGATGCTAAATTGCTTAATCTTCAAGAAGGAATGGATAATCCTTTCCCTTTTACCTTCTTCAAGCCGTAACATACAAGGCCTAACATTAAAAACAGTGTTAAAGTACAGCAAGTACATTTAGATATATATTATATCTTAAATATGCAACATAATGTCTTAAGTATAAAATGTAATGCTTTAAATATACAACATAATGTCTTAAATATACAATATAATATTGTCGCAAATATACAATATAATGTCGCAAATATATAATATATCTTAAATGTACAATATAGTGTCTTAAATATACAATATAATGTCTTAAATATATAATATAATGTCTTAAATATGTAATATAATGTCTTAAATATACAATATAATGTCTTAAATATATAATCTTAAATATACAATATAATGTTTCAGATATGTCATATGTCTTAAATATACAATATAATGTCTTAAATATACAATATAATGTCTTAAATATATAATATGTCGCAAATATATATCTTAAAATGTACAATATAATGTCTTAAATATACAAGATAATGTCTTAAATATATAATATAATATCTTAAATATGTAATGTTTTAACTATACAATATAATGTCTTAAAAGTAAATACTTATTTCAGGAGGCTTCTTTATTATTTTCCTATTTTCAAATTTCATTATTACGTTTTCTTTATTATAATTTAAAGTGCGTCCCAGAATTTTAGTTATTCTACAAATGTGCCCTGAAATAAAAAAAAAATGTTGAACAACATTGGTCTAGAGATTTACAATATAGCCTATCACTCTGGTTGTTGGTATTGAGGGGTTGCCATAGCAAAGCAAAAGAGTCAAGTGTATTATATAAATCATAGCAGGTGTGGGGGGGAGAGGGATTCACGCTTCGTTTTTTTTTCCAAGTGAAGTGAAAAAAAACAGAATCAACCAGAATTGTAACTCTGCTCGTCGATTTACAGCGCCTATAATCGTTGCACTATCGACAAAACCTACGAGAGAAAAACGGTTGGTAATTTTTTGTTTGATCAATTCATTTCAAGGAAGGCGATAACGCCACTAAGGCGCAGGAGGGCGACTGGAAATAAAATGGAAGGGAAAAAAAACTTTAGAAAAAAAAACGGAAAGCCAATAATAGTATAAATTTCAGAGTTTTAGCGGAGGTGTTAGAAGCATAGAACTGAAGTAGAATTTAGAAGGAAACGGAAGCCGAATCCTAAACAGGAAACAAGAGATAAACGTCTACTCCCGTTCAAAAAAACAGACAGAGGAGTGTGAAACGGAAAATAGGCGAATCTATCGTATTCATTTAGAATCGGAAACCCTTCTTATCTTTCGGGTTCAATTTTCACTGAGCGTTCAATTTAGGATAAATGTAATAAAATAGCTCCAAATGAATTCGTAAAGAGTTAAAATTACAGATTGGATAAAACTCTACAAAAAAATGAAAAAAAAAGTGCTTATGACCCCGACGTGATTTGAACACGCAACCTTCTGATCTGGAGTCAGACGCGCTACCGTTGCGCCACAAGGCCACTTGTTGCGTCTGCTGCTGGTGAGAGTACTGTTAATCGTGAGAATATATACGCGATTGAATTTAAGATGTCTGTCGCATGATTTGACGATTACATTTACGCTCACTTTCGTTATAAATTCAACACTGAAAATACTTGTTAAAGCAAACATTTATATTGAAAATCGAAATCGTTTCTTTTTTTTAAAGTCTGATATTTACGACTTGAAATTCTCTTACAATCGCTTTTGTTACACGAAAACCTTTTTTCTATTCAAACTTTAAATTCTCCATATGTTTACTAACTGTAAATAAAACTACAAAGGAAAATTTTAAAATATTCTGACAAGAAAAAAGTAGGCATATTGTAAACAAAATATTTTACCGCATTATTTAGCTTTGACATGTCAGGTTCAAGGACAGAAGTCACACGCTTATTAGCCGTTACTCGACAGAAAAACTCCTTTTGTATTAAGGTCGGTTTTGGTCTGGAAAGACATATTTTCTGTGGATGTGCGGATAATGCAAGAGATCCGAGTTCGAATTCCAGCCGGTTTCGTTATATTCACTTATTAAAATATCCTTGCGATATCTACCTCCTCCCAGCTATGGGTTAAATAGTACTTGTATCGGAAAAAAATTATTGTTATACACAAAAAAAATTCCCTTGCGAAAAAAAGAATTTTTCGACTTTAAATAACCTACAAAGGGTTGATAAGCCGTAAAAAAACAATGAATCAATCAACTATGATCAAAACAACGGATGGGTTCAATGAAAGAGATTTAAAATCTAAAACTTCTGGGATGAGCGTTATTTCTATTTTATGATTGGGTGGCCGCTTGAGAATAGCAGGTGTTGTAAGCTTGGACGTGCGGGTGGTGTAATGCTTCTAAATTTTTTAATTGTAGAGCCAATTTCTAATTCCAGTTGGGTTCGTTATATTCGCTTACGTGCAAATATCCTTGGGAAAGGCATGAATCCACCTCTTTTCCCTCCAGCTATGAGTTAATTAGTAAGCCATGTATCACTAAACCATTATTATCTAAAAGAAATTTCTTACGGTATCAGAATATTTTCTGGCTTTAAATAACCTGTAAGGCGTTGAAGAGCCATAGAAACCTAATCAATCTATCAATAAGCACTGCGGTCTAATTTCAGTGGGAATTGCACAGATACAGTAAGAAGAAAGAAAGATATTTACTTATATAAATAAGAGAAAATTGAAAGGGGGCAAAAGTATTAATCACTTATGTATATAGGCTAAAGAATACTTGATGCAACTGTTTCTTCGGTATGCAGTTTTCACTGGATTGGATTTACATATTTAGTGTTTTCACGTATCTTGTCAGGTTCCCACGATTGAAAGAGCTGGTAATATTTAACAGCCGCCCCCACGAGGGATGTATATGGCACAATGCCGAGTTTACCGTGGGTTCTCCGAGCGAGTAGGCTCGGCCCAAAATATTCCCTTAGAACCCGTATAAACGGTCTGTCTACCTCCCCGGACGAAACTTTTCTCTTCGGCAAAGCCACGTCTTGGTTCCTCTCTGCCAAAGGCTGAGAGTTCGACAGTTGAACAGTTTAAGAAAGTTTTGAAAGCGCTGTTTTCAATTAAATTCCAGTGGAGTTAACAATAAAACATTCATTCTTGCCGGGGACGCTTGCGATTGGTTGAAAAATGTTAAAATTGGTGCAACAATTTTCTTTATTTTTAAACCGTCAACTATGCGTGGAGCCAATTGCGTAGTGACCTGTTTTTAGTCGTATAGGTTCATAAGTGATGCTGGTTTATAAGATACTAGCAGTAGAGCCCGGCGTTGCCCGGGGATGTAACAATAAGAGATAGATCAAGTATCGACCATCATAAAGACTGAAAAATAAAATTGACAAAGATTATTGTTTAAAGTTAACGGATACGCATGTCTTAATTAGTTTTTTTTTTTTTTTTTGTTTTTTTACGAATTGGTCAAACTCAAACAAAAACATTGTTTTCAATCGTTATGAGTCTACCGATTGAATAGAATTCTATTATAAACAATTGTCTTGTAAATGGAATTTTTAAAGCATTCTGAATGTAAAAATAAAGAAAAAAGTGTGCAAGGCAATAAGAAGCACTACCTGCCAAAAAAAAAAGTGAAGTTTTGTTGAAATCGGTTGTAGGAAATCCGATCCCATATATGAACGAACACACACACAAACAACCTGGGTTTTATAATAAGTATAACTCGATATGAGTTGTCCTTCTTAATCATGTCTTCAAATTGATTTCGTGCAAAAACAATTGTGTTTTGCCAATTATTGGCGCCGTCAGAACCGCCGCAAAGTAATTTTACGTAGTCCTGTGAAGTTTTGTTAAAATCGGTTGAAAAATGTAGGAAATCCAATCCAATATATAAACGTACAACACCCCCCCCACACACACACACAACCTGGGTTTTATAATAAATATGATTTTTTTTCTGTTTCTTTTTTTAAAGGATACTGATTTGAGAGTTTGTCAGATTCAAAATTTTATTGTCTCGATACATTGGTTTTAAATGATCGATCGAAACATAATCTCATTTGCTATTAATGAGCACCTTGGAGTATCTTTCGCTATCTTTTAAAAACTTATGAGTGCTTTTGTAAGATTTTGATAATAAAATTCTTGGTTGTATTGTCTTTGCTCAGCATGTCGGTGTAATTCTTTGCTAAGTCGATTGAGTAATTTCACGTCTACTTATCTCACAGTTGCGTCTCTGTCTTTGGGCAGAGTGCACTCAGTTGCGACTCCGTCAAAAGACATAGTCGCAACTAAGGAAAATTATACTCAGAGGTGCCTGGCCCTGAGGAACAGCTGCCCGAGGCCGCACCTTCTCATTGCACTAGAGAGAAGGATCGGTGCACGCACGCGGCCAGCGCAACCGACGGGGACTAAATAAAAAAAAGTCGAGTAGTTAATCCTAAGTTTTTCTAAGAAAAGTCGGTATTACTTGAGACATTTTAGAATGCAATATCACAACCATAGATTTCCTTCGATTAAACTTTATTATAAATCCCACCCACTCGCAGTAAACGCTACATTTGTCCGGTAAACAAGTTCTGCCCGTAGGCATAGCCTCGTCTGCACGGAGGCAGAGAGTTCGACAAGCCTGTCGCGAGCCTGGCAGGAAACTGCTTGACTCCAAACGGCTTCTTTTTCTATCATGCACCAAATCTCCCCACAAGGCAGGATACGGCACAAGGCCGATTTTTAGGTGAGACAATTCCGAGCCCCTAGGATAGGGTCAAAATTTCCTCGTAGACCCCGCATTCACGGGGTCGGGTTTATCTACCTCCCCAGATGAGACTATGCCCGTAAGCATAGCCTCGTCTGGGTTCCTCTCTGCCTTTGGACAGAGAGTTTGACAAGCCTGTCGCGGGCCTAGCAGCGAATTGCCTGACTCCAAACGATTTCTCCACCTTACCTCTGCCCTGGAGCTTTTTATTTATACGGGGTCTCCATAAAGTTCGTGTGCACTTTTAAAAAATTATTACTTTATTTGTATTTGCGATAGAAATAATCTGTAAAAAATGTTATAAAGTTTAATGTACCTCGTTTTAAGTATAGCTAAAATAACTAATGTGATTTCAGGCGTTACTGTAAATCAGTTGGCAAATGTTTTCCGTGAACTACAAAATCGTATTACCCTTTGTATTGCTAATGATGGAGGACATGTGGAAACTTAAATAAAATTTCAATAAAACCTTAAAAAATATAGATTTACTTCTTTCTAATCCTTTTTTCAAATTATTTCTATCGCAAATACAAATAAAGTTATAAATACAAATAAAGTTATAAATTTTTTAAAGTGCACACGAACTTTATGAACATCCTGTAGTTATAGATTAGTTCATATAGTCACCGGGGAGTACTGTTTACTCAACAACACTTAATGTAACATATACTTGAAGTACATTTGATGTCACAGATATTACAAGTACCTTTAATATAAGAAATATTGCAAGTTCTTTATTATGACAGCTATTGAAAGTACCTTTAATATACGATATATTGGATTACCTTTAATGTAACAGACATTTGAAGTCCATTTCATGAAATATATATTGAAAGTAATTTTAATGTAAGAGACTTTGGAAACGCCATTTATGTAACATATATTGAAAGTCTATTTAATGTGATAGACATTAAAAGTACATCCAATGTAACAGGTTTGGTTTGTTTTACGGCATATCAATCTCAATGGTTTATTTAATGCCAACAAGATTTTTATTGCTGGTAATATTTTTTATCTATCTATCTATCTATCTATCTATCTATCTATCTATCTATCTATCTCAGTATATATTGGTTTGGTTTGTTTTGTTTTACGGCATATCAACCTCAATAGGTTATTTAATGCCGACAAGATTTTTATTGCTGGTAATATTTTTCAAAAATGCATTGCTGGTAATAACTTTTTTCTTCAAAAATTCATTGCTGATAATAATCTTTTACAAAAATGTATTGCTGGTATTAAAAAATATTTTTATCTTTCATAACGTTTTGACCCTAGTTTGAGGCGTTAACTATTTGCCCATAATTGGGATCCTAACAGGTGCTACCACCCAGGGTCAGGGTGGACCTGGGAACACCAGCAATTAAGAGGTGGTTCCACGCTCCTCAAAACCTCCTGATGAGAGGCCTTGCTGTCAGATGTACTTTATCGTGTTACCCAGGACTCAAGAAATACATTTAATATACAAGATTTTAGATGTAATTTTTATGTGACAATAACTGGAAATACCTTTAATGTTTGGTTTGGTTTGTTTTGATTTGGTTTGTTTTAAGGCACATCAACCTCAATGGGTCATTTAATACCGACAACTTTTTTTCCTGGTAATAATTTTGTTTTGTCAAAAATCTATTTCTGGTAATATTTTTTCCCTGAAAAATGTGTAGCTGGTAATATAATTTCAAAAAATGTGTTGCTAGTAATATTTTTTTTCAAAACGTATTGCTGGTAATAGTGTTTCTTCCTCAAAAATTTATTTCTGGTAATAATTTTTTACAAAGTATTTCTGGTATTAAAACTTAGTTTTACACTTTCATGATGCTTTTTACCTCAGTTTCGAGGTTAACTATTATGTCCATTGCTGGGACCCTAACAGGTGCTACCACCCGGGTCAAGGTGGACCTGGGAATACCAGGTATTAGGAGGTGGTTCCACGCTCCTCAAAGCCTCCTGATCAGAGGCCTTGCTGTTGGACGTAGTTTATCGTCTTACCCTGGACGGGGAAATACCTTTAATGTGAGAGGCATTTCAAGTCCCTTTTATAAACATATATTTAAATTAATTTTAATTTAACAGACATTGGAAGTACATTTCATGTGACAGACATTGGAAATGTCATTAATGTAACTGACATTGCAAGTACCTTTAATGTAACAATCATTGGTAAAACATTTAATATGACAGACATTGAAAGTACTTTGAATGTAACAGACATTGGCAGCACCCTTAATATGAGAGACATTGAAAGTACCGTTAATGTGACCGATATAATTTGTAAGCCGACAAATCAAATCAAAGAATCTAATTTCACTGGATGAGTATTTATTGTATGGCGCCGATTAAAGGCTATCTGAGAGGACGTAGTATATTCGTCTTCTGAGAAAATTACAAAAATGTCTGTTTGCACTGTAAACTACCACTAATTTCCACTCGCAAGTGCAGTATCAAGTGCAGTATCAAGCATCTACTTCAGACCTTTTCCTTGAGGACAAGAAGGCAAACCATCTGGCCTACCACCAGAATGCTAAAAGCTTCCACTTTCCTGTGATAATTATATGAACTAATTGTTGTGTGAAAATCTTTAATTATCCACCCTCTTGATTTAACCCCCTCAACTCTATAGCTGAAGGGATGAAGGTCATTGATTTGATGTACGTTCTTGCATCACTGCATCTATGACAAGACCTGAACAGTCAAAACCTAAGGATTATTAAGCTCTTATTAAGTAAACGTTACTTCAAAAATTTAACATTCACCGGACGTATTAAAGGCAATAGGGACAGAGGAAAGTAGTGCATAAACCCTGCCGAACGAGCTTGTGTAAATGATTGGCAGAACAGGGGTTAGGAGAGATAGCAAAAGACAGGAAGTTGTAGAGAGCCATGATCGCTGACATCCTGAAGGTTTGGTTGATTTTGTTTGGCGGCATATCAAACTTTGTGGGTTATTTAAATCTAAATATTTTGAATGCAATTTTATGCCTTCAACTACAGATATAATGTATGGTTGGTCATTTTGATATAAATATGTATATGTTTTAATCTAGAAATTGTTACTTAATGAGGAATAACCAAAACGGAGGTTGGAAATGAAATGGTAATCTTTATAACATCAACAAAATACAATACTCGCCAGCGGTGTGAAATAGGTAAACCACTGGTAGAGGTGCACTACTTAGACAGCATATTACCTCCCCACTTACAATAGTGTCCAACGTATTTATGAGGATTGGGACATACTCATTAGTGTTCATAGGTATGATATATAACAGTATTGCTGGTCATTTTACTATAAATATGTATTTTTGTATTTTCATAGTGTTTTGTTTGTTTGTGTTATGGGACCTTACCCATAATAACATAATGGACTATTCCATACGTAATAAATACTGCGCCTCAAGAGGAAGCAGGGAGTTCCGTCTGAAGTCTGGAGATCCGTCTGAAGTCTGGAATTCAGTCTGAAGTCTGGAGTGAAGTCCGTCAGGAGTCTGTCAGTCAGTCAGAGCGAGTCAGTCAGTCGAGTCAGAGACAGTCCGAAACAGAGTCGCGTTCAGACAATTACTACTAAACCTGATTGTTCGTACTAACACTTTTCTACCTCTCTGTATATATTCCTGTTTGTAATATATCTGTGTTATTCCATATCCGTATTCGAGTTCTTCTTTATTGGTTCTACCTTGGACTATCACCGTGGTACAAGGAACCGAACCATAACAGTTTGGAGATTTACTATTTACCATAGCTGGGACCCTAAGAGGTGCTAGCACTTCAGTTCATGATGGATCTTAGAAACAACAGCAATTAAGAGGTAGTTCCATGCTCGTCAAAAGCTTCAATCACTCGATCAGAGGACTTGCTGCTGGATGTAATTTATCGTCATAACTAACATTCTGAAGGGACACGGCACAAAGAAGAAGAAGAAGAAGAAGAAGAAGAAGAAGAAGAAGAAGAAGAAGAAGAAGAAGAAACTTGTCGACTTTAGCTATATTAAAAAGAGATAGAGAATTGGATATCACAGTTTTTTCCCTTAGAAACGCTCACACTCAATGACCTTGCGTCTTAGTGGCTTTATTGCCTTGCTTGTGGTGACAAAAGAGAATTCAATAACGACTGTTAATCTTTGGTAACAAAGAAAAGAGTACTGAGCTGTTACGTGACATCTGTGCTTCTTTACTGCATCGAATGCTGGACGATTTCCTCAAGGATGAAGAAGTGACTCTAGGCGACAAAGATGTGGTTCTACAGAAGGATGCTGAGGATTGTCGTTAGCAAGTCAAATTAATCAGAAACAATAAATTGTTGTTCGATTTTGCTTGGCGAGGTAATTTTATTATTGCATGCGGTTGGTTCGACCCCCCCACCCCACCCTAGATGATTGAACATTACGCGGTCCAAACGTTTAAAAAAGAAAATGTTATATTCCGTGCTAAGAGAATCAATACTTAACACCAGGTGGATAATAGAAGAAAGGTTTATTGTACACATTCAACACAATATGAAATACAGTACAGTTATACACAACCAGTACAATATGAAATACAGTACAGTTATACACACAGTTCAATCTAGTAGTGAGTGCCGCTAAGTGGAAAGTCGGACATGCTTACGTCGCGTCTCTCTCTCTCTCTCTCTCTCTCTCGTCGACCTTAGACAGCTGACTTTATAAGTACTTACTACCTATAGTGTAATCACTCATGGTGGTGACTGGTTATTCCATTACATCAGAAAAGAAAAGATCTGTCTGAATTAAATAGATGCACTCAATGATCCTCTACCTATTTACGATATTTCTCATGGCGCAGCTGGAGTTTAAAATATCTCTTCCTGGAACCAAGCACTAACGAACTCTGCACGCGCAGATATAGCTATAATATCAACGTGTTTACCGTATGAGCCATTGGATCGTATGTGGAGAGGGGGCGGGGTTATATTTACCAACAGAGGAATTAACCAGCTTCTCTGTAAATAGTCTGCTGACGTCAGTAGTTGATGAAATAGTGCCATCAAAAGTAGCCGGTCAACAATGCGGAGAGACAAAAAAATCATGTGCAAATTGGATTAGATGGATGAAGGGGTTGGGGTATCGCTTACACGGTGCATATGGACAGGACCGAAGTGTTTGTAGAAAGGAGATAAAATTTGGCTCAAACTCGAAGGTTGGAAGTACAATAAAATGGATAGCTGACATTGATTTACTGCGCATGCGTTTAAATAGAGCACATACGCATTTTTTTTCTTCAAATAACTCCTTTCCAAAAAGAAATGAATCTTTCTCAAACCAACATACATGACTATGAAAAAATTTAAAAATTAAAAGAAAGCTGTTAAATTCAAAGCCTATTACAGTAGAATCCCTGACAACCGGACTACAAAGGCCTTCCGGATATGAGGAATTGGTTACAAGTTCCGGATATGAGGAATTATGTTTAGATTAAAATAAAGAAGTGAAATCAGGTTTAACATTTATTTTCAATATTTTGTAGTAAACAAAATAAGCTAATGGTGAGTGAAATATAACGGAATTGATTTTAAGCAAAAAGAAATAAATTATGTAATGTTAATGAAAAGTCATTAAATTAAGTATGCCACGTATGCAAAACAAATAATGTAACGAGGATTTTTTAATCGCTGTTGCATGATGAGTTTTTCTCTTCTAATGTCACTCTCAACTCTTTCCGCAATTTTTGCTTTAAATTGAAATTTCATAAACGATAAATACCTTTTAACTCTGCGTGTGTTATTGCAATCGTCACAACTGAATGCTGGCTTTCTTTCCATAAAACTGACAACTTTTCAATCGCTTTTTCAATTTCAGTCCAGGTTTCATCACAACCATGTTTTTTATTACCTTGTTCATTGTGACAGTGTGAACGCTGGAGAATAGTATCTTTGGAAGATTTTATATCATACAATGTTGACTTTCCTATGTTGGACTCGGTCATTAGTTACAATGAACTTTCACTAGCGTCTAGTCTGTTTAAAATGTCCACTTTTTGCGATAACTCCAAAATTGTTGTTTTCCTCTTATTCCCATCATCTTTTGCGCCAATACAAACCATTAGGGTGA